GATTGCATTATTGTTTCACAGCAAACATTTGTGCATTGCTGAACCATACCATAATAGATTAGCTTATGCTTTCTGGTTGTAACTCATGATGAATGAATATCATAAAGTGGTTTCTCTCTTTGGTTTATTGGTTGACCTGTTAGCCAGATCTGGGCCAAAAGCAGGCCATAGCAATGCCACATGTCAGCCAAGAGCAAAGAAATAAACCACACTGGACCTTATCCGAGTCACAAAATCTGTGTATATTTAATATGGAGTCATCTTAACCTTAATAAGCCCATTAACAAGCAGGATCACTGAAGGAAAGAAGAGAGCAGAAAAAAGAAACAAACAGAAACACAGCAATGACAACTATCTAATGTTTGTTTCATTTATAGTGATTAGTGTTTATCAGTGTAATAGTGTTTATTAGTGTTCCATTAGTTGGGCTCTTAACTCTTATCATTAAAAATGTGTCTTCTTTGGCTGCTGTGTTTTTGCTTTTGTTTTTGCTGTGTGATTTTGCTTGTTAACAAGCTTAGACAAGCTGGGAGGACTCTATAAATAATATATGAAGATTTTGTGGCTCAGATAAGGTCCCGTGTGTTTTATTTATTTCCTCTTGGCTGACATGTGGCATTACTATGGCCTGCTTGTGGCCCAGATCTGGCAAACAGGAGCGGTCCACCCAAGTGCCATCATTCCACGCTACATGTGGGCCAGATCATCATTCCACATGTGCCAGATGTGGGCCGGATCTGGGCCAACATTATGTTGCTATCTGGGTAGTGAGCCTACATGACAAAGAATCCGCAGGATTAATAAGCTCTGCTCGCCTGCGCGTCTCTCTTGTTGAGAATGAACTGAGCTCGCGGTTGCCGCATATCGGTGCTGTAGGCTACAAAAGTGACGAAAGGGGCGTTTCAGCACCGCCCATACATTTGAAATAAATATTAAAGCATAATAAAAAATGTTACCCATGAACAAAAATACAAAAAATCCAGCTAATTTTTTGTTTTTCCATTTCTTAAACAAAACGAAAACACAAAAATCAAACTGTTTCTCGTTTCTCTTTGTTTCATTTTAAGTAGAAAATCAAATGACCACAAGATGCACAGACCCAGTGCGGTCACTTGCTCTAAAAATTCTCCCTCAATTTTGGTCACACAGATAAGAGTAATACATCTTTCAAATCGGTAAAGACTCTACATTTATTTATGAGCACTCACAATAACAACAAAACATTGTGCTTATGTAATATAACGAAAGCAAACAGGATGCGATTTCTGCAATCTCAATCTCTGTGAACTTGAGCGCGAAACTCCGAAACTCCATGTATGCTTGCTCTACAGATATGAAAACATATCTATAGAGAGTGAAATGTCTACTTTCGAATTAACCAATTAAAATGGAAAACAAATATTCTTAGATTATGTAATTGAATACAGGCACGTCCACTACTGCGGAGATGACGAACAGAGGTGTAAAATCCAGGTTCAGAAAGTAAAAGTCCTCCACAGTATTTTGTTCCAATCACCTGGATTTGCTAATTAGCACAGTTTTTCAGCCAGGAGATCAGAGAAGGGACCAAGTCATTCCTTTCAAGTCACAAGCAAGTCTCGAGTCATATCCCAAGTCCTCAAAGAGTTAAAGTTAATGAGATAATTAAGTGGCTAATTAAATTATGATTGTGCATTAGTAATGAACACCTGCTGTTAACAATCAACATCATTGAAGAAAAGAGAAACACAAGATCTGACTTCAGCCACAGCCTTGAATGAAATCAACTGGGGAAAAAAAAACCATTAAATCTCTCAAGATCTGATTAAACAACTCCACAAACAGCATCACCAGCTCCACTCATTACTAACCAGACTGACTTTATTTTATGTCTGCAGAATCTCTTACTGAGAATTGACAGAGGTTTAGATGCTGATGTTTTATTGGAAAAAATAACATGATGACACCATAATTGTGGTCAAGGTTTGCTTTAGTTGGTCTCTTGACCCTTTTAGAAGTTCAAAATAATCTGCTTCTAAGCGATTGCATTATTGTTTCACAGCAAACATTTGTGCATTGCTGAACCATACCATAATAGATTAGCTTATGCTTTCTGGTTGTAACTCATGATGAATGAATATCATAAAGTGGTTTCTCTCTTTGGTTTATTGACTGCCATTCAGCTATTACAGAACTGCAAACAAAACTCCTATTAAACAAATGCCACCATAATGCATCAATATAACAAACAAAAAAAAGAAAGACCAGTATTGACCCAGGTTTTTAGACATGAACACTTATCATACGATCCTCAACAGTGGTGGCAATAATAATCATACTGCAGTGCATGATGAGAGTTTTTACTATGGTGTTACCCAGCATGCATTGCAGCATGAAGCATGTTGTTTATTATCACCATTGTTGAGATTCATATGCTGGTTCTTGATGTCTGTGTGTGTCTAAATAACACAGGAGTTCAAAATGTTATATCATATCACATAGATTAATGCTTTATCCACAATATCTACTAGAGCAATACATTGCATGTATGCTGTAGCTTTACAGGGTTGATTAAGCAAAACCTAAACATACAAGTGAAAAAAAAGTTATTTTGATTGTAGTCAGGCCAGCTCATGATAACTATCTCATCATATATAAATAGTTAATAGCTGTTCACTGCATAGCACTGACCTCTCTGTTTTACAACACCTCATACAGTGTTACAGAGAGAGATCTAACACAGCACTCAAGGGTCAAGAGCCCAACTAAAGCAAACACTGATCTACCTGATGGTGTCATCATTTTAACCAATAAAACATCAGCATCTGATCCTCTGTAATTCTCAATAACAGCAGGTGTTCATCACTAATGCACAATCATCATTTAATTAGTCACTTAATTATCTCAATAACTTTAACTCTTTGAGGACTTGGGATTTGACTTGAGAGTTGCTTGTGACTTGAAATGAATGACTTGGTTCCTCCTCTGGTGAAATCAGCTGCTGAGTTCATGGGTGGAATAAACATATGGCAGGACTTTTACTTTCTGACCCCTGGATTGTCCACCTCTGATGACGAGTCAGTGTCGCCGACTTCATCTCTAATGCTGAAAACAAAGAAAGCACTAGTTTATCAATACATTATTAAAATGTTAATGCAGCCTCCTTACTGTTTTTTCCCTGACACATTAATAATCATTACTTCTGCCGGTGCGCTGTGGCAAGCTTTATGGGTGTGCTTGACTGCTTATTAGGTTATGTAGGCAATTAAAGGCTCATTAAAATTATTTAAATGGTTCATTAATAAATGTGCTATTAGTCGACTAATGCTTAAAATGAATGACTACTAGTCGACCAGAAAAATCTTTAGTCGAGTGCAGCCCTAGTTGATTCATTAATCAATATGCTGTAAATGAATCGTTGCCAAATAAAAATGCCAGAACAGATGATTGCAGTTGTGAAAAATGTATTATAATTATTGTGTACAAAAAATAAATAAATCATCCTACTTTTAATGCTATAAGTTTTGTGAATCGTTATTTTTATTCTTCTGCGTTTTTGCACCAACTGCTGGTGAAGCTTGTTCGCTCTTCTCTAGTTGTTGACAGACATTTCTTCATTTCAGGGTAATGTATTTACAGCACTGCACTGCTGGTGGAGATGGGCCTGATTCACAGCACAGCACAATCAGACCCTCATTGGTTTAAAAATAAATAAATAAGTGGTACTGATGTGGCTTCCTTGAAGCTTTGAGGAACAATGAACAAGGAACAGAAAGTGTCTGTGTAGTACAGAATACAGAGTCTGTCAGTTCAGGATTTGCATAAAGGTTTAATGCAGTTCACTGGCCTCTTATCAACACACAAAAGAGGCAGAGAAACTTTGTGTAGAATGGAATTTTATGATCTAAAAAGCTCCAATAAAACTAAATTACCTTAAAGAAAAAAAAAAAGATCACACGATTGCATTTGTTCGCTGTGAAGGAACTCAGTATCTGTGGACAATCCTGTCTGAGAGATGAAAAACTCCACTGCATCTGAAAGTTGCTTTGAAAATGTGAAAAACTTTGCATGTTGTTCTCTTTTCACTTCCTCGTTTTTCCCCTCTGTTTCACTCATTTTCATGCACTGGCAGATGCTGCTTCATTTGCCCTGTCCTTCTTATGAGGAGATATTTTCTTATGTTACAAAAAAATGCTCTTTGAATGGATTCAATCAAATATGGTTTTGAAGCAGAAACCGATGGTAAAATGTACTTGAGAAGAGGAAGATAAAGCATTTATCCTAAAGAGAAATCATCTTATGATTGTAAACTTTTGTTCTCACTGTATTGCTTCACCCCTGAAAGACGGTAAGAAAATGTCTCTGTTTGTATTTTACAAATTTACATTTTAAAATAAAAATAAGAAATGTCCTAAAATTTCAGGTCTAGAGTTTTGCTGACATGATTTCTGATCATATATATATATACTGTATATATATATATATATATATATACACCTTGCTACATGTTCTGCGTTGGACTAACCGGGACTTGTCACAACATATATTGCTGCTGTTTTCTTGGTTTGATTGCTTCTATTGCCCTCATTTGTAAGTTACTTTGGATAAAAGTGTCTGCCAAATGATTACATGTAAATGTAAATATATAAAAATCATTAAAAAAGAAAAAACGGTTACACTTTATTTTAAGGTGTCTTTGTTACGTAATTATACATTTAAGTACTGAGTAATATTAATTAACTACATGTACTTACTGTATGGTTAGGGTTAGGATTAGGGTTACTTGCATGTAATTATGCATAATGTATTGTTAATTTAATAGTAAGTACATGTAACGTGTAACAAGGACACCTTAAAAAAACTTCTATTTTAGGGCCTCTAATGAAATTAGAGTGAAATGTACTCTAATGAAAATAATCTCACAATAGCCTGATCTTGTTCTTGATGGATTTCATGACATTCACCTTCACAGAAGCTAAAATAAGGCACAGTACATTGATTGTGTTGCAGGTGTTGCTATAATGATGTCAATCAGAATAGCTCCTACTCTTCCGCTGATCTTTCTTCTCATGATTCACAGTGAGTCAGAACTATTTCTGCTTTTCAACATCCTCCAGCTCTACAGATGCTGTTGATTTGAATAATAATGGGGGGGGGAATCATTTCAGATGCTTTCAGTGGTTATTGGGATGTGAGTTACAGTCATCCACACATCTGTGCACTAAAGAACTCATCAGTGATAATGAGCTGCACTTATGCATACCCTACTGGATATCAGATCATGAAAACGTTCTGGACCAATGGGTCTGTAAAGGGTGTAGAGCCTCCAGATCTGTCTAAGGATCCTGAATACAGTCAGAGGCTTCAGTATCTGGGAGATGAACAGAAGAACTGCACCATCAGACTGAGTCATGTGACACAGAAAGATGAACACATGTACTATTTCAGATTCATAACTGATAAACCTGATAAGAAATGGATTGGTGTTCCAGGAGTAAGTCTTACTGTAACAGGTGACTTTCATGAGGTTTCACTCTTCTTCTGTGCATTATGTTGAATAATAATCAGTGTATGACAGCAGCACTAGATATAATGTGTGTGTTGTGTTCAGATCTTCAGGTGGAGGCTCCTGAGAGAGTGACAGAGGGTCATAATGTCAGTCTGACATGTAAAAGCAGCTGCACTCTGACTGACAGAGCAACATTCATCTGGTACAGAAACTCACAGCCATTAACTGAGAGAAGAGACGGAAACAATCAACTCCTGCTGCAGTCAGTCAGAAGAGAGGATGCAGGCAGATACAGCTGTGCTCTACATGGACACAGTTACATCTCTCCTGCTGCTCAGCTCAGTGTCACGTGTGAGTACTGATTCATTTTTTTTTTTTTTTTAACTTTGTGGGGTTT